AGGAACTAGACTTATAATGAGACGTAGGGAAGGGATAGGGTTTAAACCCGACAGTATAGTAAATTAACAGCTCGTATACACAGAGACATCTCGTTTTGTGTGTCATAACCAAAAGAGAAAATGATATTTCTGTGTGTGTGTGAATGAGAAAGCAAAAGTAAGTGCTTGTGTGTGTGGATTATTTATATAAATTATACCCACGAAGTCATAATATTCATCGCTACTTCAGTCTTGAAGAGTGAATATATAAACTAATAAAAAGGGCAAATTTAATAGTTCTATTATCCAGCTGATTATATATTGTTTCATTGTAAGCGCTGGGCATATATGAACTGAACTAATTAATTTTCACTCCAGCTGTACATATAGGGGATGGATAAAATAATGAAAACACTGAGAAATTCAGGAATAGAATCTGTTTCTGTTGGCTACATTGAAAGAATTTCAGTTGGCAACACTTATGTTCTTCAGTTTGTTTACACTCTGTAGTGCTCGTGTAAGTGCATTAGTGACTGTGCTGAGTGACAGTCCGTGTGAAAAATCGGAAAATGGGAGACTTTTATGAAGTATCATTTGACACTTGACATAAATTACACTGCAAATAACTTAAAGATAGAAATATGAATTTATTTGCGAGACATGCTCAATTATTATGGCACTATACTACAAGCTGGAAGATCGCGGTTTCGAATCACGGTGTTATAGGATTTTTCAATGAACCTAATCCTTGCAGCCGCAGTATGGCCCTGAGGTCGACTCTGTCTCTAACAGAAATGAGTACCAGGAATCTTCCTGGCGGTAAAGGGCGGCCGGCGCGTAAGGCGACAGCCTCACAGCTGACTGTGAACAGATTGTATAGAAAAGTGGGAGCCTCGACGTCTCACAGGCCTATGGGCCTCCATGGCCTGTTACAGGGATGGCTCTACCTTTTTACTATTACATTAAGTGAAAAAAGTATTTTAATTTCAGAAAAAATAAGCCTCTTTGTATTAAGTATGTGTGTGTCTGTGTGAATGAGAGAGAGAGATTACTTTGACAAGTTGTATGCCATTTTGACGAAATAGTATAGAAGAAGGACGTTGTATAAAAATAATAAGATTAATAAATTATGATTTCATTGGCGTTTTTCTTTGCTACCCATTAACCCCTGTGAGTATACCGAAAGAGATCGTTAATTATGTTCAGTCATTTACTTCTCTGAGAACCATATTGTGTTTCTCTTTGCCTACTGAATGATAAGCTTTAACCTACGCGGGAAACTTATCCCTGAAGATTTGTCATGTGGTGTCTGTTATTTCTACGTAGCCAAAAAAGTGTTCATTGTTATTTTAAGTATGTCGCTGCTGCATACAAGGAAATGCATTTCCATCAAGAATGCTAAGCCATGTTGGAAAATCCTTTATCCAATACCAGCATATCTGAACAAAGGGAACGCAAGCCTGACATACATTCATTGTGTGAATAATTTACGTAGTACTTAGGTTTCTTATCATGAGAATCGAGCATTTGGAGTGTCTCATTTCAAAACAGTGGGATTTTAGTTGTGTGTTTCTTTTTCTCGGATTGAGGAAGCTCAGAACAGAGAAATATTTATGAAGTTCATTGCATCCGCCTCGTTGGCCCTTGATATTGGAATAGGAGGCAGTGTTCTGAAAGGAAATGTCTGCATTTATCGACGTTAAAATCTGACATTTTCAGTAACAAAGCATGCGCAGATGTGTTCATATATTTTAGTTCCGTTCGTCGGAAGCAACACTTCTCTGATGTTTGGGACGGTATCTGACAATACTGTTTCCTGTTAAGTATTACATAGTTTGGAGGGGAGTAGGTCTTCCAGACAGGCGGCTGTCCTGCACGGCGAAGATATAATCATTACAATATTATGCAGGATTTAAAGTAATCACAATAATGGCTATGAAAATTTCCATCTTCTGGGATATACCGCCTTGTAAAAGGTAAATTTATCCCTGTGCTTTACTAATTAAGCACTGCGCCATGAAGGCGTATGGGGGAGTGGATGTATAGATTCGTGTTTTCTTGACCGCGACACTAATTGGAGGTGAGTGGTCAGTTTCACGCCACGGCCGCTTTACCCCCGGTGAAAGAGCCCCTGGTACCTATTGGATAGGAGGTTGAGTAGACCCCAGATCCGGTCTGGGCGGCGTGGAGAAGTAAAAATTCTTGAGCTTACCGGGACTCGAACTCCCACCCCTGGTGTGCCAGTCCGCAGCCAGTCTCTTTACCGTCTACGCCAGCCCGGCTCCTTATAACGCTTTGTAGTCCATTGAAATATCACCTATGTTTCGGTTCGTTCATTTTTCGAACATTATGTTGAATATTCTCCACCCTATGTGATATATGCGTCTTTTCTAAAATATGGCCGTTTCCGTAATAAGGTACAAGGGGTAGCGATCTACTCGCAAGTAACCGTTAGGTAGATGTAACTTCTGTCACTCGTACTCCAGACGGTCAACACTATCTAATGTAATAATTGTACAGTGAAAATTGTTAGGCTGCTCGAACTTTTATTTGAAATACAGGCAAATATTTTCATGTTTTGTTAAAGTAACAAAGGAGAACGCCCATTCTTTTAGCATGTTATAGGAACGACGATTAAAGTTAATTAAAATTATAGTCAGAAGAGAAAATTCAGGTTCAGAAACTACCTGTCAGACTAAAATATCTTTCCACCACAAATGTATTGCTTAATTGCGGCAACGTGAGCGTAAGTAAAAAGTAAAGCTATCCCTGTAACAGGCCGTGAAGGCCCATATGGTTGTGAGGCGTTGAGGGTCCCACATTATCTAGACAGTCGGCTCATAGATGGCGGTAAGATTGTCAGCCTCACGCGCATGTCGCACTTTACTCCCAAGGAAAATTATTTAATTAATTTCTGGCACTCATTTCTGTTAAAGGCTGAGTCAACCCCAGGGCCATAGTGCGGCTGGAAGGATTAGGTCAAATGAAAAAAATTCAGTGACCTCATCGGGACTTGAACCCGCAACCTTCCGGCTTGTAGCATAGCCCCTCAACCAAGTGTAGTACAATAAATTCTGTAATCTTCAGTGGTAACTATGCATAGATCTCGCGCTTTAAGTTTTAGTACTTCAGCATTTTGCTAGCGGATTGTATTTGATGGGTAGTTTTGTTAAGTTTTACTAAGCAATGTGATTATTTTCCCAACATGGACGGGCTTTCGTTCGTAACATCTGCAGTAAGAGCAGACCCCTTAAGTGATATTTAGCTGAGCTTTGTGTTTCAAAGGGGTTGAGAATATCTCCCTTGGCAGTAAGACATGCATCCTTTCCTGCTTCTTTTATTTTAAGGTAGATATTGAATTTTTTTTTAAGACGGAGGAAGATGTAACAAGGTGGGTTATTTTTAAATTCAATTTCCGGCGGTATCTCTGAGAGGAACTGTTAGGAAACCGAAGAAAGAAACAAGTAATAGGCGATCTGAAGACGAACAATAGTAAACGTCTCATATTTAAAACGGGAATTTCATATGTGACTTCCAAGTTTATTTTCTTTCAGATTAAAAGAAGAACTCAGATGGATAAAATCTGAAAATTGTTGCTCTAGGTCAACGAAGTAATACAGCTTGATCACTGGGATTGCATTCAAATGAAAGTTCTGGCTTTTATGTAGTAGAATTAAGGTCCAATTCTGGCGCTTACATAATTCGATTTCAATGATAAGATATTGGGTATCGTATTCATAATACGATATATGTGGAATTGAGGGTTTATTTAATGTTACGTACGCTACTCACTTTATTTTGAAACATTGTGTTAATTACATTGAGAAAATTGTGCGTTGGATTTAAGATGGCCTGAATTCTTGATAAATCGTGGTACGACTCCGTGTTGCGAATCAGTGAAGATGTATTCATATAACTAAGGAACAGTGTTTTCTGTTAAGGAATACTTTTCTATAACAAAATTCTTCGGAATCATATGTCCTGCTGAATATAACAAGATATTCTTTGCAATTGTCCTTCACGTAAAATGAACATATTCAAAATTTGCTTAATAAACTAGGAAGTTGTCGGGTTCTGTCTTCTGGGACATAGCGCTGTATTTTTTTTTTCACTGCCTCTACAGCCTCCTTGGTCCCTGGTCTCTGATTTTCAGTTTCATGATTATTTTACAGACTGTAGGACTCTTTGGACGGGTGATGAGCTCTTCGCAAGGCCCCGATCCCACGATCCCGGCTTCCGAACGAGCTACCGTGACCGGCACATAATGCTGTATAGTCCTTTGAAACTCAACCGACGTTCCTCCGAAACGTCGGTTGAATTTCGGTGTTCTACACGGCGTCATATGTCGTAAGGCACAACTCTTCATAGCCATCGATTTGAGAACGGAAGTTATCTAAATCCCTCTTTCATTTGTTTGTGTAGTACTCGCCAACGAAACTTAAGCGGATACATACGTGACGTAGAATGAGGAACTCTCTGATCTGCTGCTATGTGCGGCGACGTTCTGTGTTGTAAGATGCGCCGTAACTCAATTATTCTCTTGCCGTATACTGAAGAGTCGTAGACGTTCCTTCTCTCCTTTACTTTATAATCAAATAGTGCATATGCGGCCGCCTCTGCGGTCTAGTGGTCAGAGTTCCTTGATACAGATCCAGAGATCCTTATTCGATTCCCGGCGCTACCAGATTTTCTGAGGAGTAGCGGGTCTGAAACTGAGTCCATACAGCCTCTTGAGGATAATTGAGGAGCTGTTTCAAGGAAATAGCGGCTCCGGTCTAGAAAATCGAAATTAACGACCGTGGGGATTCGTTGCGCTGACCACGTGACACCCTCTATCCACTAAATTTGGCATCAACTTCTCTGAAAAGAGGCGGCCGCTCAGTCGGTATAGTTCGCTTGCGGACTACAGGCCACGGAATTTGTTGTTTTGTTTATTTGAATAGTGCATTGCAGTTGCATAGATATTTTAGCGCAGACTTGAGTGTTCTCGACTTCTCAGTAAGCTGTTCATTTCCTTGCAGCATTTGGAGGAAGGAAATCAGAGCGTCAGTGTCCTGAGCTTCGTTCCAACTATCGAAGATGATGGAAAGTACCTGACATGTCGTGCCGAGAACCCGGAAATCAACGACAGTGCCTTAGAGGACAGGTGGCGCCTCAATGTTCACTGTGAGTACTAGAAAAAAAAAATGTTCCCAATTCCAGGGCAGGGCTCATGCTAAAGGAACGCAAATGTAATAGTGATGTAATAGTTCTCCATAGATAGTTTATGGAGATTATTTTTCCATGTATTAATTTGTAAAGACGTAAGAATTTATTTAGTTTATTTTCTGAAAAGTGATTTGAATGACGCCACGAAAACATAATTAGACTGTGTACTGTAATGTAGTTCTCTATGTTAAAAAGTCTGTCTGTTTTATTCTCGAGTAATCACTAGTTTTCTTAATGTAAAGAATAGTTGGCATTATTGACTATATCAAACTGCTCCAGTAGACGGTCTAAATATACATTTTTATGTGGAATGCGATAAGAATCCAAACTGTAAGAATGGCTGATACGCTAACATTTAATTCTGAATCACAGTGTACCAAAATATTGTAACGTGGATGGACACAGCGTTGCCAGGCAACTGACTGCGAAACACCTCGCGACCGAATACACGCAAGGCAACAATGGGAGTGCGGTGTTTTCTATGCGGTCGGCGCCATGACCATTGTTATGCGAACACTCGGTAAACATGTTCCAACAATAGAGAGAATATTTTCTGTGTGGTCGGTGTGAAGGCTTTATAACGAGATTCCAGGAAAAACCCAGCGTGGAGGCGGGATCGAATACCTCCACCGTGACTCTGCGAGTCGTAGGAGGCGACGAAAAGGAAGTCTCAACTCTGAGACAGTGAAATATGATCGCGAGTCCCAAGGGACTCCGACCCGAGAAAGATTGCGTTGGCAAGGGCCTCTTGTTAGAGAGGGTGAATCTGTCTCAAAATATTGTCACGTGTTGGGTATGTCACGCGACAAATACCTTCACGTGGATCTCGGATTTAACGAATCTTTATTGAACACTCACACTTACACACCGTACACATATCACCACTTGCAGTATCACTTGACTTCTGGCCCAGTACTCCAATGCGACGTCTCAACTATCTTTGGCCATGGTTGGATCCCAACTGTCTCTGGTGGCGGCTGTCCCAAGACTGTCTCGTTCTCAATACTCAATGCGTGCCGTAAGCTCTGCTTATATGGGGGTTATGCGGACCGGATACCGGACACCATTTCTCACGTTTCCGTTACCGCTGTTCAGACAGTCCGTTGTTACGGGAACGTTCCTTATAGGTTACACCGGTAACGTGTCTCGTCTCATCCGTTGTTACGATTTGTCGCTGCGAAAACTCCACAATTTCCACGTATTCGTTGTCGTAGAATTGTCCGTTCCGAGTGTAGCGGTTGTCGTGGTGATGGACGTAAGGTAACGCGTCACAATATTATCCAAAAATTTTCTTGTCGGAGCTGAGAAAGTCTGTGAAAATAACAATTTTGAGGCTGTTTCGTACCCGGTACTGTCGTATACAAATCAGGAGCCCCAACAACTCGATCCTGACCTTCGAAGGTGTATGAACTCTTGTTATTTACTTATGCGCGTGACTTGCGCACTGGCATTGTGACCGCGTATAGCTCGGGTGCGGAGAGAGAGGGAAGTGGGATGCTGTTAAATTTGATGTCCCTGTATATACGACATGATTGTCTTATTACGTAATGAATGAGATAAACGAATATGGTTTCCGTACACACTCGCCTTCGTTTCTCCCAAACGATGGTTAACAACTATACTATTTGGCTGCGCCATAGCTCAGGCGGTTAGCCGCTGGGTTCCTACCGCGGCTGCCTGGGTTCGAGCCCGGATGAAGTCATGTGGAATTTGTGGTGGACAAAATGGTACTAAGGCAGGTTTTCTCCGAGTACTTCGGTCTCCCTTGCCAATCTTCATTCCACCAATTGCTCCACAATCACCATCATCTATAATTTTGGGTTGGTACAATAGGCCAGAAGTGGCCGCAGTACCAAGTGGACTCAGTCTCACCCCACTAAGAATAATAATAAAAAAGACTATACTATTTGTAACCCCTAAGATACGGAACGGCCGGTCACGGTAACCGAGCTGTTTGAGGCATGCACTGTCTTCGCTCGCTCGGAATCCGGGATCGTGGGTTCGAATCCCACTCAGGACATGGATGTTTGTGTGCGTTTTTCTGTGTTTGTATACAGGTAGAGGCCTTGCAATGAGCTGATCACTCGCCCAAGGAGTCCTACCGTATGTGTAAGATCTAGAAAAACCGAAATGAACGGAGTTCATGGAGGTAGGCCTAGGCCCACTGGGGCTGTAGTGCCAAGGGGAAAAAAAAGATACGGAACAGGGCTGTTAAATGGGAGGCCATTTCCACGTGGAGGGTCTGTATGTTTACTATGCAAGGAATGAGTGTGTTGCCCTTTTGTGTCACGTATAAAATCACCAGCTGAACGACCGACAGCTGCTCAAGGAGGATTCTGTTCGAATGAGATAATTAGTGAAAGAGAAAGTGACATAATAGTACAAAGTAATGCCTCATGACCTCACATCTCTGAAATTTCAAGCACAGAACACATTTTGAAGGTTTATTATTATTATTATTATTATTATTAGCATCAGTAGTAGTAGTAGTAGTGGTGGTGGTGGTGGTGGTGGTGGTGGTGGTGGTAGTAGTAGTATCTACACTGTGCTCTGTCTGTAATTGGCCTTGCGGCTGTTGACTCGGCACATAAATAATAAAGAATTTAATTGAATTATTATTGTTCATAAAATTACTGCATGAAGAACTTCTTGATAAATATGAACGTTTACCAAGAATTACGTGTCTGCGTCATTGATCAGGGATCCGAAGTTGATTACCTCAAATATTCCACGAGTTTCATATGAAATTATGGGCATGGAATATTAATCTTCATTGTAGTTCTGAGAATATTTGTTAGGATGACAAAACTCAATTATCAGAGTACCAAAAGCGCCAGAGATGCATATCGTAGGCCTTTACATGCTTTATGAAGTACGCTTTAATAAGTCTGCAGCATTCCACTGTTTATTATGTATGATATGAAGCACAGAACATGTTGATTTTGCGGAAAAACTATTTTAATAAATTGCTTTTTATTGGGCGTATGCTGGATAAATGATATTTATGAAATGTATGAGCACTGGATTTAGTTCTGAGGTGCTACCTTCATACCAAACCATGAATTTTATCCCGTGAAGGAGGTTTGTGCGTGACTTATAACAGGGGGTTTTGGATTGATGATTGGATTCGGGACTACAGATAATACAGCCCTATCGCTGATTTACACAATTTACAGTTCACCGTTACATGTGCACTGTGATTCTCCATCTTCATTAGTATCCTGGCAGCGGATTTATAATCGTCTCATTGTACCTTCAAATCACACATGGAGTCTTATTAGCACAGTCTGATTCGTTTCTTGTCATTTTTTCTCTATTACCTTCGACTGCCATCTCCACAACTCGACATAATTCTCGACAGAACCCTTCGGCACGGACCACGGAGAAAGCATAGTCTCTCTATTGTTGAGAAGGCTTGTTTACGGACCCGTTGCCTAGCAGCGGATATCCTGTTGTTGCGCGTACTCTTCCGCGGGAATATATTCACCGATTCGTTGCCTAGAAAAGAGTGTATACGTCACAATATGTACACTTAGGAGTTGGATCAAGGAGCCGGGATAGTGTAGCTATCTGGCTATGAGCTGGACGACTGAGGGGTCGGAGTTATAGTCCCATAGGGTCAAAAATTTTCACTTCTCCAATCCTCCAGATCGACTCTGGGGTCCACTCAACCTCCTATACAGTGGGTACCGGGGGCTGTCTCCCTGGGGCATGAAGCTAACCACTCACCTGCAGCCAGTGTCGAAGTCAAGAAACTATGGATCTATACATCCACTTCTCATACGCTTTCATGGCGTAGTGCTTAATTATTTAAGCACAGGAACAACTTTACATTAAGAGTGGGCTCATCTGAAACTCCATGCATCCCCTAACTGAGTAAAAGATGGTGCCGAAATCCTGCAGCCTTTACTGCCTCGAAAACAACTCACAAATCTCGTATATAGAAAGATGTTTGGAACAAAGAAACATTGTTGAGAAATTATCGAAGTATATCACAAATTCCTTTCCAAAAACAAACCCTGGCTGTTTTTTATGTTCACTAAACCCACAGATGATGCCGGTCACGGTAGGCGAGCGGTCTAAGGCATGTACTGTCTTCACTCGCTTGGAAACCGGGATCGTGGGTTCGAATCCTACTCAGGGCATTGATGTTTAGTTTGTGTGTATGCATTTTTCTGTGTTTGTAGAGGCCTTGCGACGAGCTGATCACCCGCCGAAGGAGTCCTACCGAATGTGTACTAGGCCCACTGGGGCTGTAGTGCCAATGAAAAAAAAAAAGTACCCACAGATGACATCAGATCATTGTATGTTTACTGTAATGTTAAGAATGATAAGTTTCAGGACTCAATCTAGGGACTTCATATTCTGGAAGTAGAGGTCCTAGGTATTCATCAGGTTTCATTAGTGACACTTCAGTAACCGGATCCATTAAGCCACATCACCGTTTCGTCACCATGTGATATCGGGCAGTGCAGTCACTTATTTTCGAGAGTTAAAACCAGAAAGCTGTCCTAACCCGATATATACAAAACTGATGAACACATATATTCAGAGATTACAGGGCCACTTTATGAGGTACGCGTTGATACCAACTCGTTTGCTTTAATGAGGTAGTTCAAAGAAACCATTTCGTGTCTCTGTGAGAGTATTTTCATGAAATTATTGGACACTTAAACTTCATTGTGCAGTCGCCCAGTCTTTACAATTCCATGCCTCATTCCTTTATGTTTAATTCAACAACTCTAGCGCCTGTTGTTTAAACCTCGGGTTCAGGGTTTACTTCCAATCCGGACTATAATAAAGGCAAAAAACGTAAAAATAAAACCGAACATTATTGCTACATAGCGCTGTATTCTTTTAGGTCAACAACATCAGACAACTTTAGAGTAGCACGGCTAATTCATTCGGGTCCTTGAATCCTAAACTGACAACTCTCTGTATATTGTCCGAAAGACGGA